TGTGTCAACAGAGTTGTTGCGTTTTTTGTCTCTATGTGCTAACAGTTTTGGCAGCACCAAAGCATGTTTCCGTACTGTAGCGTTTCTGCACACAGTTTCTGTTGCCAAGGTCTGCGTAGTCAGAAATTGTTTGCTGGGTATATATATATATAATATATATATATATATATTTATATATATATATGTGTATACTATGTATACACATATATACATATATACACATATACACATATATACATACAGGGTGTTTGGTAATTGCCGTCTCACCGCTCGTAGGTAGGTAGACGAGGTTATTCTGAGACGAAAAGTCCTATACCATTTTGAAAGATTCGCAATAATTAACAAGATAATAATTAATAAAAATCCGCTAATCAGCGTGCATCTAGCGTAAAGACAGCGTAAGGACAGCCCAGTCTTTCGCGCGTAGCGGCGGAATGGAAGGAGCTAATAGAATAACATGTGTATACATAAACAGCATATAGGCTGCGTTCAGGCAGCGCGCTATCCACGCGAAAGATTGAGCTGCTCTTATGCTGTCCTTACGCTAGATGTACGCTGATTAGCGGATCTTTATTAATTAATATCTCATTAATTATTGCAAATCTTCCAAAGTGATATAAAACTTTTCGTCTTAGAATAACCCCTTCTACCTACCTACGAGACGGCAATTACCAAACACCCTGTATATATGTATTTACATGTAAAATTTTACATGTGAGTTTTTGAATTGAAATTTCAATTCTTAAAATCATACAGGATGCTATATTTGCATCACATATATGATAAATTCCGAATACCCACCTAACTTAGCTAATTTTAAAATATTACGAAAAAATTCTTATTAGACTTCAGAGCCTGAAGATTCTTTATTAATTGTTGAATCACGCCGGTCTTGCGTTATTAAAATTATCAAAAACCATCTTTGATACATGTACAAAGTATTGCGAGACAAACTCCAAGCCTCGGTGGCTTAACAGCCCACACAGACATCCATCCATCCAGACATCCATTAGACATCTATTAGACATCGCATGGAGCTGTCGACGTCTAATAGACGTCTAATGGAGTTTTTGTTCTGTGTGGGAGAGAAGGCGACGGTCCGGAAAGCCGGAGATTCCAGGTTCGACTCCTGGCCAAGGAGTTTTTTTCGCAATATTTTAAAATTAATTAGAAAGGTATTCGGGATCTATCATATATGTGATGCAAATATAGCATTTTATATACAATATATGATTGTAAGAATTAAAATTTCAATTCAAAAACTCACGTGTAAAAATGTACATGTGAATACATATATACATATACATGTGTATACATATATATATAATATGTAGAGGTTTACCGAAGCAATAAACACACCGTGATTCGTCTAAAAATAAGAGAAAATTTATTTAATAGAATGAACCGGACAAAGGTTATACGATTGCACGTGGTTGACTAACCTAAAAATAAGAGAATCAACAATTAAAT